CCCAGAGCAACCCTAAGAGGCTGGATCCAGGAGAACGCAGATGTTCTGTCTGACCTCAGTGTCAAAGCCAAGGCATGTCCTAGTTCCCCCTCAGCAGCCACTCCCAATTCTGTCATTCAGAAATTTGCCCAGACCCTTCTTAAGCTGCATTTGTGTATCTCGCCAGGACCACCTCTTGAGATAATGAGTTTTAGAAGATTATTACCTGCTGTGTTAAGCAGTACTTCCTTTCATTGGTTACAACAAGAAAAAGAGAATTAGGGGTGAGGCAACAGAGAGGCTAATGTTGCTTTCACCAAGGGACAATCTTGTGTGTGGAAAGTGGAAATATTTAATATGTTGGAGCCGTAAGGCATTGGAGCAGCAACCATAAACTCAGGAAATCCAGTGGCTGCAAGTGTTTTGGTTGATAAAAATCACTCAACGTGCATTTATGGAAAATAGGACTGGACAAAGGCATAATTTCTGTTAGAGTTATATAGTGAGAAAGTAGCTCAAACAGCATGGGGTCCAGCAATGTTTTCAATCACACAACTCTGAGCTGATTACAAATATGCAGGGATCGGAGGTTGGTGAAAAACTGGGAAATCTGCTAGGAGAAACTCAATGTGTACCGCGGCCCTCTGCATAGTCAGGGATGCCAACAGAACCTTTGGGAAAAGGCGTTACTAGTCTTCAGTGGACATGATGATCCTACCCATTGCCTGAGCTACTCAGCCAGGCGTAGTTCCATGACTACAAACACTCTCTCTGCAATATGGCACCTTGGACTGATTCCGGGAATGGAACAGAGACATGAATGGAGAAACTGGTGAAATTGGAATAAAGTCTCAACTTTAATTAATAGTAATGTGCAAATATTAATCTTAGTTTTGACAAATGTGGCATAGTTATGTAAGATGTTATAATATTAGGGCAAACTGGGAGCAGAGTATGTGGGAATTCTCTGTACTATCTTTGCAACTTCTCTATAAATCTATTATTATTCCAAAGTAAAAAGTTTATTAAAATTAAAAGACATTTTTTAAAGCAAACATATTTCATAACAGTTCGGAGCCTCTGTACTGGGTGTTGGAAGTCCCTAAAAATCACTAAGATTTTTAAGAATCAAGATTTAAGGCAAAAGACATGAAAAGACATTTTTCTAAAGAAGACATACAGAAAGCCAACAGGTGTCTGAAAAGGTACTGAACATCACTCATCATCAGAGAAATGCAAGTCAAAACCACCACCACTTCACACCCACTGGGATGGCTAGTATCCAAAAGACAAGAGAAGGGCACCTAGGTGGCTCAGTTTGTTGAGTAAGCATCAGACTCGATCTCAGCTCAGGTCTTAATCTCAGGGTCATAGGTTTGGGCCCCTCACTGGGCACCACGCCCAGCATGGAGACTATTTGGGGAAAAAAAAAAAAAAAAAGCCAGAGACAAATGTTGGCAAGGATGTGGAGAAAAGGGAATCCTTGTACACTGTTGGTAGGAATGTTAATTGTTACAACCAGTATGGAAAACAGTATGGAGGTTGCTCAAAAACTAAAAATAGGGGCGCCTGGGTGGCTCAGTGGGTTAAGCCTCTGCCTTCGGCTCGGGTCATGATCTCAGGGTCCTGGGATCGAGTCCCGCATCGGGCTCTCTGCTCAGCAGGGAGCCTGCTTCCCTCTCTCTCTCTCTCTGCCTGCCTCTCTGTTTACTTGTGATCTCTCTCTGTCAAATAAATAAATAAAATCTTTAAAAAAAAAAAAAACAACTAAAAATAGAACTACCACTCAATCCAGTGATCCCTCTTCTGGTTGTACACCCAAGGAAAATGAGATCAGTACCTCGAAGAGATATCTGTGCTCTCATGTTCACGGCAGCATTATTCACAACAACCAAGATAGGGATACAATCTAAATGCCCATCAATGGATGAATGGAAAAAGATGTTGTGGTACACACACACACACGCACACACACAAAGGTAAAAAGAAGGAAATCTTGCCATTTGCAACAACATGGATGAACCTGGAGGACATTACACTAAGGGAAATAATATAGGCACAGAAAGAGAAAAAAATTGCATGATCTCACTTTTCTGTGAAATCTAAGAGTTAGTGGGCGCCTGGGTGGCTCAGATGGTTAAGCAACTGCCTTCAGCTCAGGTCATGATCCTGGAGTCCCAGGATCAGGTCCCACGTTGGGCTCCCTGCTCAGCGGGGAGTCTGCTTCTCCCTCTGACCTCTCCCCTCTCACGTTCTCTCTCATTTTCTTTCTCTCCCAAACAAATAAAGTTAAAAAAAAAAAAAAAAGAAAGAAAGAAATCTAAGAGTTAAATGCATGGAAGTAGAGAGTAGCATGGCTACCAGATAGGTACAGGGTGGGGGGATGGAGAATGGGGAGATAGTGGTCAAAGGGTACAAAGCAGGAGTTATGTAGGATGAATAAGTAAATATAAAACACAACACGATGACTATGATTAATTACACTGTATTGAATACTGGCAATTTGCTAAAGAGAGTAGATTACAGGTGCTCTCAACACAGAAAAGGAAAAAATGGTAACTATGTGAGGAGATGGATATGATCATTAGTTTGACTACAGTAATCATTTCACCATGTATATGTACATCTAATCATTACATTGTGCATCTTAAATATATATAATTTTAACTTTTTTTAAGTTTTTTTAAGATTTTTTTTTAATTTTTGAAAGAGAGAGAGAGAACACGCACGCAAGGACAAGTCAGGGGGAGGGGCAGAGGGAGAAGCAGACTCCCCACTAAGCAGGGAGCCTGATTCAGGACTCTACCCCAGGACCCTGGGATCATGACCTGAGCTGAAGGGAGACGCTTAACCGACAGAGCCACCCAGGCACCCTACAATTTTTACTTAAAAAAAATAACTTTCAAGAAAAAAAAAAACTTGGGCTTCAGGTGGATGAGAATTCCCTAACATTAAAAGGGGCAGGGGGAGGGGGGAGAACAACATATGCACATGTGTTAAAAATAAGGAAAAATTGGGCACCTAGCTGGCTCAGTCAGTGGAGTGTGCAAATCTTGGTTCTTGGTCTCCAAGTTGTGAGTTCGAGTCCTGAACTAGGTATCAAGATTGCTTAAAAAAAAAAAAAAAAAAAATCTAAAAAAAAAAAAAAAAAAGAATAAGGAAAAACTAAGTGGGTATGTGTTAGGACATGGAAAATTTAAGTAGCTAGCCACAGGAGGCAGGGTGAGTCAAATATGGGGGCAGCAAGTGTGAAGATGACCGAAACTCTGGTGACCCATTACGAAATCATCGCATCCCAAAGAAAACCAGGACCTTCTAAAAGATGGGCCTTGTTTTGTTTGTTTGTTTAAAGATTTTATTTATTTTATTTTAGAGAGAGATAGCAGGGGGAGGAGGAGAGAGAGAGGGAGAGAAAAACCCAAGTAGACCCCACAATGAGCACAGAGCCCAATATGGAGCTCGATCTCATGACCCTGAGATCAGACCTGAGCTGAGACCTTGAGTCAGACACTTAACCAACTGCACCAGCCAGGTGCCCCTAAAAGATGGGCCCTGTGATGGACAGCATGGCCACAATCTACACTCACATGTATCCTCTATGGGCACAATGTAATTTACAGAACAGGAGTTACAGTTGTAAGCCCAATAAGCTAGAGCCTAAAAAACAGCCTGGAAGAAAAAGACTAGGACAAAACCGGAATTGACACCATACCAAAACAACCATACCAAAACAACATCAAGGTATACCAAGACTCAAAATAAAGTTATTCAGGTAATTCATCACCACTCATTGGCTCACTTGAATGAGGTTGTTAAGATAAAATTGACAAGTGCACACATAGAAAAATTAACTGTTCATTCAAGGAGACTATAGAGATACAAAGGCAAGGCAAGAAAAGACTGAGTATGTGAATAGCATCTATAGGAAACTGTATCAAATCTTTCTAAAAGCAAAAAAAGAAGCTAGCCCTGAAAATATACTGTTGATTAAAAGTCCCAAACCTTGGAGATTTGGGGGTTGATGCCTGAAGGTTAGAAAAAGTAAGCGATGTCCCTTCCAGGAGGGAAAAAAAAAATTGCTAAGAAATATTTACAAAAAGGTAGCCTATTTAAATATTTGGGCAGATTAGAGAAACCATCACAATGGCTTTCAACTGAACAACATTGGATCATAACCCAACTCGTATAATATGACAACATGGCTCCGGCTAGAAGCCTCGTGCTGACACCTTAGAAATGGATTTCACTCCCCACCTCCCCTCACTCACACAAACTAACTGCTTTCCTACTGGCTCTCCTCTGTGTTAATCACTGGGTCACATTCAATCAACAACATGTCCAAAAATAAAAGAGTCTTAACCACAACAACAAAATCACCAATTTGTTAAAAACAAAACAACCAAAAAAACCAAGCATTTTGGATTTTGTTGATAATAAATCAGGTCTCCGTTTTTAATGAATTCCAATTGCTCTAACTGACCCTAGAGTGACATATGTATGAAAGAATGACTCCACTGTGCACCTACGGTGTCGATTTTACAAGCTTGTGAGCAAAGACAAACATTCTAGAGGAGAACGAACAAACCAGAGACATTTCTGGTTTCTGTGCAGGCTTGACCATTTGCAGAGCAAGCTGGCACTTTGCCTCATTTGAGTCTTTTTTCCTCATCTGTGAAGGATATACCTAGGTCTGCTTTTCCTCTGAGAAGAAACTCTGTCAAAGCAAGAGACAACCCCTGAACCCTCATCAATCCGTACCTCTAATTTACTGAGGGATGATGTTCGGAAGGCCACATAAGCCCAGAGTTTGACAAATGACCCTGTTCTGTGCAAACAATTTTAAAGAAGAATTACCACTTACCGACAGCTCCGCCATTAGCCTTTTTTACCCCCTGTGGATAATTAAGGCCCTTATTTATATAATTTACACCACCTTCTGTGGGCCAGAATAATTTCCGATCATTCTTAAGTGTTTACACTGAATTCCAGCCCCAGAAGTGAAGGACTGCGGCTCTACTTACAGTTACGGATGTTATTCCAGTCAATTTTAGAGAAGAAAGGGTGGCAGCAAAGGCCTTCAAACTTCAGTCTCTCTTTCTGGCCACACAGCAAACTCTGAATCAGATCAAGTAATTCACTGCTAACTTTGGGGTCATCGGGAAACTTCAAAAACCGCTATTCCAAAAAATAAAATAAAATAAGCATTTCCTTAGCCGATTCAGCTTCTCATGTTCTAAAGTTAAAGTAGTTCTCATATATGCAAGTTTCTCTCTTTTTTTTTTTTTTTCTTTTTTAAAGAAGGAAGTTTTGTGCCCTTTTAACTTTGGACCAAAGGCATGTTCCCAAAATAAATGGCCTGTTCACATCAATAGACCTCGTTCCTTTACAAGGGTTCAATATCCTTCATGATCTGACCCTGCTCCTCTCTGTCTCTTGTAGCTGTACTCCCCATCTCGCTCTTTGCTGTCCAACAATGATGAGCTATTTAAAGCTGCCTGAACAAATCATGCTGTTCTCTCTGCCTAGAACGCCCTCCCCATCCCGCACCCCTCTTCCACCCGATCACTGCCCCCCCCATTCCCTCTGTAATCTACTTCTGCACAAACACAGTGCACTGTGATTTCTGTGTGATAACAGGGAGAGAGGACAGAGAGAGCCTTCTCCTTGCTCATCACTGGAAACCCAGGACCTAACCGGGCCTAGCATAATTCACTCATTACTGAATGAGCAGACTGAAGTGAAGGAGATAAATTGGACCTAAGAATCATCTAAGGGAAAACTTCCACTCCAGAGGGACTCAAGAATAACAAGTAATATATGTATGTATTAAGCATATGAAATATGTATTATACATATGAAAATATGTATTAAGCTTTCCAGAAAGAGGAGATTGAGTTAGAAAACCCTGTGAGGTCTCTCTTCTCTCCTTTCAGTTGAAACTAAAACATACATATTTATCATATCCTTAAGAAATGGGTTTAACATACTGGAACGTACAGTTATTAGAAAATGGTTTTTATGCTACTTCATATATATTCCTATAATTCTAATTCCTAGCCCCATTTGATCTTACCACCATAGCTGACAGCTAAGAATCCTGAGAAAGAGCACAGCAGACTATCCAAGGAAAGGCCTCGAAGCCAGACTGCCTGCTTACTCTAGGCAAATTACTTAACCATTTTGGGCTTTGGTCTCCTCATCTGTAAAAGGAGAAGAATATCTACCTCTCACATTGTTTAAGGATTAGCCGAGTTAATGAGCTATATTTCAAGGCTAAGACTCAGTTATTCCCTTAATAGCACTGAAATCAAAATGCATTTTATAATCAATGAAATATGATAGATTAATTAGCAAGAGGTTTTCTTTTTTAACGGGACCGAAAAGAATGGCGTAGGCTTATAATGACTGGTACCTGGGAGTCAATGAAACACAATTTCTAAAGCGTTTAGAGCAGCTTTTAACACGAAGTGCTTTATAAGCATTTGCTATTGTTATTACCCAGCACTGCTGATTTATATTACAAATGTTCACTCACACATTTTTAAATGACAGCTCTCCGTATTACCGTGGAATCTACGAATGGCTCTTTACCTGGAAATTCATGATGTTATTGAAGGTTCTGGCTGAGGTCCCCTCAGTGAACGGGGACCTTCCGTACACCATCTCGTAGGCGATCACACCCACCGACCACCAGTCACAGTCAAGACTGTAGGTGCCTTTCCCATCCCCATTCAGCACAGTCAACACTTCAGGGGCCATGTAATCTGGAGTCCCAACTGGGAGCTTGGCATTCACCTGGAAACCCATAAATAAAATGAACACAGCAAGCTTTCAATTATTCTCAAATAGACTGCCGAACAGCCACATTTCAGGCTACAGGCTGATTTGCCACTGATTACTATTCTCCCAGGCACTTAAACCTTCTGTCAAGTGGCATGCCGTCAGGAAATGCAAACGATTTACTAATTAAATTTAAAAAAAAAAAAAAAAGAACATGATATAATCCAAAGGCAAAAGGGCAAGAGTTGTTGATGATACACACCCTTTGGTTACACAAATAAGAGTCCGGTATATAACTAGGACGGAAGATGTCTTTTTCCTGATACACGTTACCAAGAGCTTCTCTTATGAAAACAGCAAAATGATAATAAATCCTAAAGATGAATCTATAAGATCAGTCTAGCCGTTATCGAAAACCTGGCAGCTAGCTGGGGCAAAACAATATTTGCAAACTCGTGGTATCTCAAGCTTAAATATCTGGAATCAACAATCCTACTTCGAGACACCCACAGGGAAAGACATGATAAATATCTTCCACCAGAAGTCCAATGTTAATGAGTTCATTTTCCTCACCCCCAACTCCTGGTCCTATGGTTCCCTTCCCAATGTTCAGAAATCCAGAGCCCTCCAATCCAATGGCACTCAAAGCACCTGACCTTGGCAAAGAAAGGCTAGGACAATGTAGTAGGTCTTTTCCTAAAGCTAAATATATCCCATTTGAAGAACTGTCCTTTTTTCTAAGAATTTGTCCTTCTGTTTTAGTGTTTATATGTCCTTTGTTTCTCGAAATGATGCTGATGAAAGGTTTTCTATCCCCCTCCACCCCTTCCTAGACAACAGAGTCAGCCGGCAACCCTTTCAGCTTTGAAAATTGTTTTGAAGTCTTATTGACCCATGAAATTTAAAGGCTAAGAATCACCTCTCTGACTTCTTCCTCATCAAACAGAAAGGGCCTGATGTTAGTCGTATCTGTGTTAACCAATAATCCTATAGTTGTCTAATAATCCTGCCTTTTGAAAGGCTTCTCTCACATGAGCAGTTACATGGGCACAAAAGAACCTTCTCCCCATTAAATGATGTTGAGCGCCCCTGAGAGACATTACAGATTTTATAGGTATGGCCACGCATCTTCAAGGCTGGGTTTTATATCCCTTCCCTAGGGATGGACACTCAAGCTCTTCCAGCCTGTAACTTTAATCTTGTCCATCCCTCTGCCCCAATGACCCAGTTAGAGGAAACAGACCCATTCTCCCTACTCTTTCTCTTTTCACCCCTTCTCTCAAGCCCACCATAGGTTTTTCCAAACCCTAAACCTGGACAGCAGTGTGATACTGGTATTCTTGACACCAGTCATCCATTGCTTTGGGCAACAGAATTTCCACTGAGGGGTCCCTGGCCGGCTCAGTGGAGCATGCAACTCTTGATCTCGGGAGTTGTGAGTTCGGGCCCCATAGTGGGTATAGAAATTACTTTAAAAATAAAATTAAATCTTTAAAAAAAAGTTTTTTCACTGCAAGTACACACTGGGAAAACCTAGATGGTCACACTGCACAAGAAAGCCACAAGCCAGTGCTGATAGACAAAAGTGGGGAGAAAGGAGACAATATCTGGTCTAAAGGCAGCTTAAGGGGGAGAAACTGAAAGCAGCTTAAGCCATGAGAAAGCCTTGATGCTGGGGAGCCCACGCTAAAACTTCTATCTTTTTAATGTGTGTAAATGTTAATGAGCTCAGCACGGGATTAGGATTAAACTACAGGGCTTTGGTAAAAACCCTCAATACTGACAATAATTTTTTTTAATATGAAAACAAGAGAAGAAAAACTAATGTCACCATTAAATGCTTACCCTCTATGCCTAATTACCTTGCAGAACTGTTACTATGCAATCCTCAAATACACATCTTGGCACTTGTTGGGTTTTATTTTATCATCACATTGGATTGAGAATACTCCGTTCTCCCTGTTTGCAGTGCACAGAGTCGAAAGGAACTTGACTGGGCTGTGTTTATCAGCATGACCCAGCAAGGGGTGTAAGTCATCAATGCCTCATTTTCAAACTCATGATGAGACCCAAGAGAGTCAGGTTAACTCCCTAATTCCTGTCCCACAACAGGCATGTGATTATACACATTTATGTCTAGCCACTTTGTAATTTTCTAAATTTTAAGGGAAAATATCCCTAGCTTCCATCATGCACATCTCCTGCATAAAGTACATTAGGTGCTTAATAGCAATTTACAAAGGTTTTTTTTTTTTTAAAGATTATATTTATTTATTTGACAGAGAGATCACAAGTAGGCAGAGAGGCAGGCAGAGAGAGAGGGGGAAGCAGGCTCCCCGCTGAGCAGAGAGCCAGATGCAGGGCTCGATTCCAGGACCTTGAGATCATGACCTGAGCCGAAGGCAGAGGCTTAACCCACTGAGCCACCTCAGCGCCCCTACAAAGGTTTTTAATGACAATTTAATGACTGCTAAATTTCCATTGGTTATTGACCTCCATGCACCTTTAACCCATTGAACACTTAATGTCACACATCCTGACAAGGATTTTGCAAGATGCTTTTGCTCTCCTCTGGTGGCAATACACAGCCAGCGCATCTGAGTAAGATATTAAACACAGAGCCATGCACAGGGTACCATCTGACAAGTTTTACTAAACTTTAATTTTCACTGTATCCACAGGGATGAAAATACACCAGTTCAGCAGGAGGCAATAAGAAAATGACTAGGAGGGGCACCTGGGTGGCTCAGTGGTTTAGGCCTCTGCCTTTGGCTCGGGTCATGATCTCGGGGTCGTGGGATCAAGCCCTGCGTCGGGCTCTCTGCTCAGCGGGGAGCCTTATTCCCCTACCTCCTCTGTCTGCCTCTGTGCCTGCTTGTGATCTCTGTCTGTCAGATAAATAAATAAAATCTTTAAAAAAAAAGAAAGAAAGAAAGAAAAGAAAATGACTAGGAGACAGAAGATGAAGTCCTATTTCAGGAGACAGGTTAAGAAAAGAAACAAAAAAGGATTAACGGATTCTTTCACAAGCAGATGAGAAGAAAGTAAGAAATCTACTGTCTGTTTCCTCCTAATCCTCTTCCCATAAAATGCTTAAACATGAAACGATTTCAACCTAACTTTCCCCATGTGGCTAGCAGGGCAGAAACATCCACCTGCAGAAGCAGGGCGTGGAATGGAGAGTTGGGGAGGGGAATGGTATCTCATTATGTTGTTCCTCTTGGGGGTAAAGGATTAAATCTTATCACTTCTAGTAAATGTCAAAAAAGGCTATCTCTTATGGATTTTCAACTGCTCAAGGAGGCTGATTAACACTTAACTGACCTGAGCTGAAGAGGTTTTAACCCACTGAGCCACCCAGGCACCCCCCCCCATTTTTAATTATTATTTTTTAAGTAATCTCTACCCCCAGCACAGCATTCAAACTCATGACCCTGAGATCAAGACTCACAGGCTCTACCTACTGAGCCAGTGGGGTGCCATTGCTATATGGCTCTTTATTGACCATCTCTTTCCAAGGGTTTGTGTGAGAGCTGAATGAGACAGGTTGGAAGATTTTGCTATTTGCCACTCGTTGAGGGTCAACTAAGGTGAAATGGATAGCCTTATTAGGGTACAGAGCGGGTGCATGGCACGCTTTAGCTCGACACCCAAACCTCTGGGCAGTACAGTTCCCCACTGTTTGTAAGAATGCTTCAAAGCAACATGCTAAGAAGGCTGAAATAATGACAATGGAAAATGGAAAACCCAACAATCCCCAAGTCCCAAATGGCTAAATTCATAGATAATGTTTGAGAGTAGTAGGGGAAAAGATTGATTTTGGGTGAGTACCATACATGAGTTTCAGTAAACGTAGATTATATTTCATATATTTTGAGTACAAAAAAACATTTAGAACTCCTTTAGGCCTATAAAACATTCTACTAAAAAAAGACATATGTTGGGGGACGCCTGGGTGACTCAGTCAGTTAAACGTCTGCATTCAGTTCAGGTCATGATCCCCAGGGTCCTGGGATTGAGTCCCATATCAGGCTCTCTGCTCAGCGGGGAGCCTGCTTCTCCCTTTACCTCTGCCTGCTGCTCTAACTACTCCCTCGCTCTGGCAAATAAATAAATAAAATCTTTTAATTAAAAAAAAGAGAGAGAGAGTGTGACACATGTTGGGATGCCTGGGTGACTCAGCCAGTTGAGCGTCTGAGTCTCGGTTTTGGCTCAGGTCATGATCTCAAGGTGGTGATACTGAGCCCCACAAGGGGCAAGGGGCAACGGGCTCCATGCTCATTGCAGAGTCTGCCTGAGGTTCTTTCCCCTTTCTTCTCTCTCCCCCTCTCTTCTTCCCCCGGACACACTCTCTCTCAAATAATATCTTTAAAAAAAAAAGTTTAACCCACCTCCATTGATCAAAAATATTTTTTAAAAAAGTATAATTCTATATCCATACTTGATTTCATCTAGACTGTAGATTAATCAAAAGGCCTTTTCACTTAAAACAATGCTAAGAATTCCTTGCTATGTGCTTGTCACATTTTGGCCCTAAAAGCACAAATTTCTGGAGAGGCGATTCTTCCTCCAAGAGAAGAGGAGGTGCACGCCCCCCCCCCCAAGGATGCAGGACTGAGTGACTTTTCTCCTTCACCAGAATAATCAGGAGTTGAGCAATGAGCTACACATAAACCCGAGTGACTCTGGAGGACTCCGCGCCTGAAGTGAAGGTTGTTCCAATTAGAAGAACTGAAAAGGGATAGTCTGAAGCACTGAAAAACAGAAACCTGAAATGAATGAAAGTCCACTCTCTCCACTTGGGGCTCGGTAGAGAGCAAGTGATTCGAGATGCAGGGATGGGACTTACTCCTTATTCCCATTTGTTTAACAAGCAGAGACTCTGGATCTTAATCTAGTTTTCCAAGTAGGTATTCTTATCATGAATACCTACAGCCGGCTCTCATTAATAAGCTGTCTGATGTTTCTCAATTGACTTGGGATGGTTCTCAACCAGGGGTGATTTTGTCTCCCATGGAACCCTCTGCCATGCCTGGAGACGTCTCTGGTTTTCGCAGCTGGAGGAGTGGGTGTTATTGGCATCTAGTAGATAGAGGCCAGGAATGTAGCTAAATATCCTGTAATACACAGGAGAGCCCCCCACAATGAAGAACTATCCAGGGCAAAATATCAATGGTCAGTGTCAATGCCATCCAGAGCTGACCATGAATCTATGTTTCAATTATTAGACCATGTATCCATGCTTCAGTTTATTTCTAGATGCACAAGTTTATCAAGGTCACTCACGCAATGTACAAGTTTTTGAATCCTAGATGATAACCCTTTCCATTACTTAACTTTTTTCCTGTGCTTTATTCCACTAGATTCAACAACCAAGTTTTCATGCCTGTTTCTGCATTGCCCATTTTTAAGACATAAAATGTTTTGATCCTATAATCTAATTCTCATTGTAATGATCAAGTGGAATCGATTACAAGAACATAATGGGGTGGGGGGAGACACAGTGCCTAGAGAGACTGTTTTTCCAAGGATCTGAACACCAAGTAAATGTATCTCAAGTAGGCCTCCAGTCTGCCAAACAGGGAAGCCAGAGCCTGGAGTGCAAAGAGTTAACATAACCCCAAACCTTTTTCCTAATATCAACCTGACAACACCTACCTTTCCTCCAAAGAACTTGAGAAAAAAAGCAATTTTACATATTTCCCTTTATAAGGACTGAGTTTTCAGAGGTTGGGAAGAGGGGCATTTTACAGAGTAACCTCCCTAACCACTTAATTTGTGCATTTTAACTAGAATCAGCATTTTACTGAGAAAGAATGAAAAGCCATGTTCCTAAAAATTTGACCAAATGGGTCAGCTGAAAAGTACGTTTTAAGATCTAAGTTGATTTTCTCTTAGACCTGCCAGTTTTTTGAACAAAGGACATGACAATTCACTTCAGTATGTACCAATTTCATTAGGGTGTGTTTTTAAATCTATGTACTTTTTTTTTTCACTTTGTCATCTTTTCCTCAAGTATTCTTGCTCTTGATCTCAGCAGGTACGCTCTTGCCTTCTTATTTAGCATGGGAAATACAGCTAATTTTTACCAGAGATCCAGGACTTCAAAATGACCTTTTGAGCAGTTAGTTCTTAATGCTTAAGGATATTTGGTTCAAATGTGCCAGTGATTTCTTTCAACTTTGCTGAATAGAAAATAGAGATGTGAAATATCTAAGATTACAGAAGACAATCTATAATAAGGAAAATGAAAAGAAAAACAAAAGTGAGCATTTTTCCCTTTATGTTTTAACCAAACCCTAAGGATGCTCCTAAAAATGTTCTGTAGGGTATTAACAGATAGGGTGCCAAGGTCAAGCAAGTCTGGGAAATAGCTCTATGTCCCCATCCCCACCTCCACCCCTGGAGAAATCATGTCATACACTGGCAGCTGAAGATTCCAAAACATCACCGTATTTTCCAAACTTATGAGGACCACAGAACCCTTTGTAGCACAATCTCTATTAAGCTATCTTAGTCCATTTTGTTACCATCTTATTTGAGTTCATTTTAGCCGCTGATCCAAAATCCACAAGCTTGATGTGTCCTGTTCGGTCAATGAGAATATTCTCGGGTTTGATGTCTCTAAGAAAATCAGGGCCACAAATTAGTGTTGTCTTCTCCATGCAAATCAGCAAGCAACTGCTAACCTCGGATACTGATTCAGCCAACCAACTCAGTGTCTAGATTCTGCTATGTAGACCTCCCTATTGATAGATATAAATAATAAGCAAACATTCTGCAAAAAAAAATTTAAGTAAGTGGGGCGCCTGGGTGGCTCAGTGGTTAAAGCCTCTGCCTTCAGCTCAGGTCATGATCTCAGGGTCCTGGGATCGAGTCCCGCATCGGGCTCTCTGCTCAGCAGGGAGCCTGCCTCCTCCTCTCTCTCTGCCTGCCTCTCTGCCTACTCGTGATCTGTCTGTCAAATAAATTAAAAAAAAAAAAAATTTAAGTAAGTAAAAGGAGGAGGAGAGGGAGGAGGAGAAAGGGAAGGAGAAGGAAAACAAAAAGGAGGGAGGGAGGGAAAGGAAACATTCTCGGGTGTACATAAAACATCCCATGAGTGAGGATGTAAAGAGACACTTTTTGACTGAGGATTTGATGGAACACCTTTGTAAATTACTGATGAGTGAGGTCAGAAGTACTACTGCATGGTCTTCCACTCCTCGGTTTGCAGGTTCCTTCTGCAAATCGAATTCGTTTTTTCCAACATATAACTCAAGGAACACATGCAAGAGTTCTCAGTCTTATCAGCTACATTCACAGATCATATTAGCAAACTTGAGAACGCCATAATTTGAGATCTATTTCACTGTTGAATGGGTAAAGCTGAAATGTCTGCCACTCTGGAAAATATACTTTCAGCCAGTTGCAGTTAAGACGGGTTAAAATTTGGATGGAGCATCATTTTGAAGCTGAATTTATTCATCTATTCACTCCATTGTGGGAATTCTTAGGTGATACAGATAAATTCTCAGGACACTTACCAGACAGTCTCACTTACCGATGTACATATCCCATCTGATGAACGCTGTGAACAGCCAAAATCAGTTCGGCTAGGTAAAACTGAATCATATTTTCATCTAATTGGTCCTCATATCTATTCAAAAGTGACAGCAAGTCGCCTCCAGGTTGATATTCCATGACCTGTAGAGAATGCCAAAGTTATTAATTCTTCATACACCCCAAAAACCGGAACATCTCAATTAGAGCCTCAAATGCTGCTTGACGCATTATAATTACGATGTCTCCACAGAGCTACTAAGATGTGGGAGACATACTATAAGCCTTGTAGGGTGAGGTCCCTGCCCTAAGGAAATTACATCTGATACCCAAGAGAATCAATATAATGAAAGACTAGTCCCAGACACCATGCACAATGTTTGCAAGGCAAGCTTGAAAAGTTGAATTAAATCCACCCACTCACCCACCCACCCACCCACCCAAGTCGACACCCCAGACATTCCCTAGGATTAGGTACACAGTGTAGATGGAAATTGTTATAGGGCAACAAACCTTCCAGTATCCTTTTTGCATTTCTCTCAGCACCCAGCAGACTAGAGAAGGCGTGCAATAAATATGATACAATCTTTTCCTGCAAGTCGTCTGACCATTTCTATTAAAAATTTAAATGTGAGCATACTCTCTCTGACCTCATAATTCCACTTCTGACAATTTGTTTTACAGGAACTTATAGTAGTTTGTAGATCGATAGATACATAGATTCACTGTAGCACTGTTTGTAACACAGGGGAAGAAAAGCCTGGGAATCACCCAAACATCCATCATTAAGAAACTGCTGAAATATGGTATATCTTAATAATTGGAGATGTTGTAGATATCAAAAATGAACAGAATCAATCTATTCATACAGCCGTGGAAAGCTGCCCATGATAATATAAAGCGATATCCTATATGGGATAAAGTACAACCTCCTTTTCGTGACAAAAAATATATATATATTACATTTGTTAAATACATACATAGGGAAAAAGTCTGGAAAAAGAATATAGGGACGCCTGGGTGGCTCAGTCCGTTGAGTTTTACTTGATTTCAGCTTAAGTCATGATCTCATGGTCCTGAGACTGAGCCCTGCCTTCTGGCTCTGCACTCAGTGAAGGGGTCTACTTGTGCCTCTCCCTCTTCTCCCCCCACCCCCACGTCCAACGCTCACTCTAATAAATAAATTAAATCTTAGGAAAAAAGAATATAAAGTACAGCCTCAAGGAAAATGTCCGATTAGCAAAAAATTTCTTCCACTCCAAGGAACTGAAATCCTTCCACCTTCTGATGATAACTGAGTGTGATATTCTGAGTCAACACATGGTGTTGAGGCCCATTTGCCCAAGAGGCTTCAAACCACAGCCTGGTGACTTCAGCTCTCTGCCCTTCAGTTTCACCGGCTGTAGAATGGGATGGGACTGTCTCGCAATACTGTGCCTGGCACCAAGGAGTTCCTCCACTGCTGGTCAAGAACCTTCCTTTCTCGCCCTTGGCTGCGTGATCCTTCCCTCTCTGGCTGGGAGAAGCTGGGACACGTTTCGATCATCTTTGCAGTCATGTCAACCCTTACTCAATTCTCCTCCTGTCCTTTGCTCTGATTTCCCATTTTGTGAGCGATGCTATAAATATCTTTTGTTTTAAGTTGTCTCAAATCCTTTCTGGAAAGTGGCAAGATCCAAATAAACATCTTAAAAAAAAAAAAAAAAATACTAAATCTCTCCAACTACTGCATTCCAGAAGCCAATTTTGGGATGTGAATTCTCTCCATCCTCCTCCAAACTCCTGTTTGCTTTTGGTCCAGAATTAGAAGAAAGCTCCAGTCAAGTGAGACACTGAGCATCTGCACATATCCGCAGAGGCCGCAGGCTGGCCCAGTAAAGATTCTGCCCGGCACCAAGTGAACCCCACATCAGAGACCCTTGGGGGAGCCAGGGACCCACATGTCCTCCTGAAGGGCTATGTATCATCTGGGAGTCTCCCCCATTCACATGACAACTTGCAAGGAGCGGAGAGTCAACCAGATACTGGACAATTTGAAGAGTAAGGTTCCATTTCCACTGCAATTGCTGGAAAAAATTTTATGAACCCACAAGAAGAGCCACACTTAGAAGGGGTAGCCGATAAAATGCAGACTTTATTTCCCCCCAAATTCAGAGCAGATTGAAAGCTACCAGTCCCAGCCCTAGAGGAGCCCACAGGAGCCACCTGGCTGCCTTAAAGCTCACCCACTCATCCCAACCTGGTTCTTCATAGGACCTGGATATGTGGGCGAATGCCAATTTTTACGTCTGTTTTAAATATATATTGCCATTAAAAAGGTCTTAAATATAAAAAAAAATTCACCGATGACAACAGAAGTACTCGTGCTTTTAGAACGGAAACATCTTAAAATAAGAACAATGCATATTTATGACGACACATCGCAGTTATAAATGTTCTAACCTGACTCTATTAAAGATGTGTGAAATAGAAATGCCTTGTAAGTTTGAGGATGACAAAGTCAAACAGATAGCACCACTGGCAACATTTAAGAGCTCACAAACTGACCACTATTTAATACTTCGCAACTATTCCTGAAGATTCTATTTTGAAGTGACCAGTAAAATAGTTCAGAAAAGAAGAACCATCTCCTAAAAGGCAAAAGATACGTATTCTTTGCTCCTATTCAGAAGGTCCAATTTCCTGAGCTAAAAACCCCCGCCAAAAGTAGATTAGTCTTTTCTGAGTCAAACAACTTTTCATTTCTTCAAAACCAGGGTTGATTGAGAAGACAAGCGACAAAAATTACAACAGCTGCTAGGCAGCAGGCTCCACAACATGGGACAAAATAGACACGAAATGACAAACCTCTAAATAGACTGGGTCCTTATCAAAGACTAATCAAACTTGACCCGTCGACACGATTCCACATTACCATACTAAATATTCCAAGCGCCTGCCATTTGAGAACTTAATCTGGAAATTTACTGAGCAAATTTGGCTGTCCCAAGATGTCACGTCTACTCTAAAACCATCCTACTGGGGTAGAGTTGCCCATTCTGTTATGAATGGAGCCCATGGGGAATATGGCTTATGTGTGGCCAACCCAAGATGACACCATCATCTTGCTGTTGAGCTTAGACATACAGTGAAGAACAGGACTTGGACACTTTCAGAAAATGGTGCCAAGTCAAGAGGTTCCAAAAACATCATCGAAGGTCAAAAACTAAGAGTCTTCAAGTCTCCATTCGATGACTTGCTATGAACAAAACACCCGGGTCAGCAGAACACTATAAACAATTTAAGGCCCAAGTCACCACCCAGGCTATGCCAGACAATTCATTCACAGGACCTGGTTTTGTCCAAAAGCATGACTCCGTCCCGGACTTTAACTACTTAGAGATGCCTGGTGAGGCGCTGTCCCCCAAAAATGTGGCTTCTTACCTAATGAACCTGGTAAGTCCTCCAGGACAGGGCTTATCAAACCTGCCTGCCCAACTGAATTACCTAAGGAACTACTTTTTTTAAAATAAACACATTCATCTGGGGCAGCCTGGGTTGCTCAGTCATTAAGTGTCTGCCTTCGGCTCAGGTCATGATCCCAGGGTCCTGAGTTCGAGCCCCACATCAGGCTCCCTGCTCAGCAGGAAGCCTGCTTCTCCCTCTCCCACTCCCCCTGCTTGTGTTCCCTCTTAGGCTGTGTCTGTCTCTGTTAAATAAATAAAATCCTTGAAATAAAATAAAATAAGCACATTCAGAAAAAAAAAATGAGTGCCTACTATGTGTCAAGCACTGTTCTAGATACTAAAAAAACAGCAGAGACTATAACAAACAAATCTCTGGCCTCCATGGGGCTGGAGTTCTAGTGGCATCAACAAGAGTAAACATGAAACAGACTGAAAGGGTAAAGTGTGTCTCACTCCCATCCCAACCATTCAGGGAGCCTGTTAAAAATTCCAGGGACGCTGGGTGAGGTGCAGAAATGTGCATTTTTAGGGAGCACTCCAGGTGATTCTGAAGCAGCTAGCACAGTGCTGATGAAGGTGTAGAGACAAAGCGGTTCCTGGAATCCATCCACCAGATGAAAAGTTTCTACAGCAGAGGAGCCCTGAATCCAGCCGACACTCCTGCAGCTTGCGGTTTTCTTCAGTGACAACCTGGACACGACAGGACCTGCCTACCATGCCAGGATCACCGGCAACAAAGGGCTGGAAAGGAACCGGTCCATTGGTCCATCAGCATAGAGGAAACCATCCCGCACAGAAGGATGCTCGGGGTCCCTGCCCACATCGAGCAGCTGCAGGTCACCCGAACGGCAATCACCGAGGCACAGTAATCAAAGGCCGGGGAGCCAGGAGGAGGAAAGAGCCTAAACAATGCGATCACCCTGCAGATGGTGGAGAAGGCCCAGCAGCTGACAGACAAGCCTGGCTTGGAGCTATAACGGACTTGCTCTTTTAAAAGCAAAGGCATTCAGGCCAACAGAGACAAACCCTGCTAATGGCACAGCTGCAGATGCTAATTAAAGGGCAAATCTTACATGGGTTCGGTTTTGGAAGGAGCAGCGGCTTCTCTGCGGGTGATCGCATCTACGCCCCCAAGAACAGGGACGCCAGTGCCCATCAGTTGTGCGGCATTCAAAACAAAGGACAAGGCTGTGTGTGTGTGTGTGTACCACATGCACATCCGTACAGACTTGCATGCACACATATCCATATGCGGGGAGGGGGTGAGTAGCTAATAGTTCTTGTACTCTACTCCAATTTGCACGGGGTGTCATTAGAGACCCGCTGTGCTGGCCACCCCTCTAGCAGCGTATCCTTGAAATGCTTGCACTACAATCAGCATGCCTGAAAGTACCATGGAAATGTAACAATGCTATTGGCATCGTTCTCTGCCCTGCGCCGTGTTCCTGATCTTTGGCATTGGGGAGGAAGGAAGGGATCCTCGAAGCGGAGTGGTCCCTGGCAGAGACCCTAAATTATTCCTCTTGAAGGACAAGGTCACCAAGAGAAAAGAAGAGAAGACCCTTTGTTTCAGAAAATACAAATCCCAGCCTGACTCATCCGTCTATTCAAAAGATCCTCACTGAGTGTGGAATCATCCAGAGCCTTGGCAAGACACAGATAGCACACTCAAACCAGGCAACTGAGGACAGGGTTAAT